CGGAGGGCTCCGTGCCTGCACCGACACCGCCGGGCCCGAGTGACAGGGTGACACACACACATTTAGGGACCTCCCCGACGTGCGCACCCGGGCACGGTCACGCGTGGTTACCCGTCCTCGCACAGATCCACGCGTAAAGTTAAAATAGCCTCTTCACAGCGGCAGCGGCTCCCGCAAGGTGCGTAACATCTCCGGTAGCAGCCGCAGGTAGCACTTGTGTGCGCAGCAAAACGCGACCGTGAGCACAGGACGGCGGCTCTTCCCCGCGTCCCGGTACGCGTGCAGCCTGCCTGCTCACTGGAACCCCCGGCGCAGCCAGCTGTCCTCGCTCCCAACAGAACCGTGGAATGGTTTGGGTTGGAAAGGACCTTAAGGTCATCTAGTTCCAACCCCCTGCCACGGGCAGGGACACGTTCCACTGGAGCAGGTTGCTCGAAGCCCCTGTGTCCAACCTGGCCTTGAACACTGCCAGGGATGGGGCAGCCACAGCTCCTCTGGGCACCCTGTGCCTCAGCACCCTCATAGCTTTGTATCGACTGCTAAATGTCTGCCCCAGGCTTCAACCTGTCCCCGTGCTCAGACTGTTTATTCACAGGTAGATCGCTTGTTCCTGGGACAGCACCCCTTAAAATCATAAATAGTTCCTCAACCTTGCTGAGGAAAGAGCTTGCAAACCCAAGGCTGAGCAGCCTTCTCTGTGTATATGTATGCACGTGGGTGTGTGTTTACACTGACATATGTACATATATATATGTACACATGTATATATTTATAAAGTGGAGTCACATTCTTCCTTAGGCAAAAGAGGTTGCACTCCTGCCAGTTCCTGTGGTATCACATGGTAGGTTTCCTGTATCATCCTTGGCTTTCCCTGGACTTGCTGCCTTTTAAACACTGAGTACCAAAACTGCAGATAATGCTCCACGGTTTGCTCTTTATTTCTAAAGTTATTGCAGATGTTAAAAACCAGCTGATTTCTGATGCTTTGAACAAAATGCAGGTAATGGTCAGGTGCAACAAAATTGCTATGGGAAATCCATGAACCAGGGAAAAATAGGGGAAAAAATATAATGGAAGAAATGCCTCAAAGATTAGTCTTTGATTTCAAGCACTGGTGTATTTTGAAGCTTGTTTTGAAAGCTTATAGATTGTAGGTCAGGTTGGACGGAGCTTGGAGCAACCTGGTCTCGTGGAAGGTGTCCCTGCCTGTGGCAGGGAGGTTGGAACTAGATGGTATTTAAGGCCCCCTCCAACCCCTACCAGTCTGTGATTCTGTAGCTTCATGAGTACAATGCCAGCACAGATGCCTGTAACAATTTATTTAAATTTCAATTTCCATGTGGGGATCTTAGGCCTATGAATCTGTTGCTTATTTTACAGTCCATGTGCTGCAGGCAAGTCTTATCTGTATCTCTTCCTTTCTCTTTTCCCCACTATTTTTTTTCCATCATTCAAGAAGAAAAGTGTCATTATTGGTGTTTTTATTGAATGGTCCTGGTGAAATGGCACTTAGGTGTATGCTTTCTGCATGTAAGAAATAGAAATAGTTTTGATAACTGGAAAAAATCAGCTCACTATAAATATGAATATGCCACCCTAAATTTAGTGTTTGTGAAAAATTGATAAAGTCAATCAATACTGTAAATGTCTGATAAAATAGGTTTAAAATTAATGCACTGTTTTCACTTTAAAGCATGTCTGAATCAGTAGAATTTAGCTTAAATGACAGTGAAGACGCTTTAAAAATTTAAAAAAAAGTAAGGTTACTGAAAGAATACCAGTGCTGAATCTATTTAAGAGCAATTAGCAGCTGGACTGCTTCCACAAAGATGCTTGGAAAACTGGGAAAAATACACAATTTGGGAGCAGTGCTATGAGAAGCAAGTTGCATGGTGGCTATAGAAGTGTTTTCAACCCTGGGATAAACCAGATTTTCAAGTAGAGTAACAGTTACTTCATCATGTTTCAATGCCAAGGTGAAGACTTTGCACAGCAGTCTTACACTGTACGGTCAAGGCTTTGAAATTCCAAAACCCAAAAGCATTGAAGAGTCAGACTGTACATGTCAGGGTGGCTGCTGATGGACACTGCACAAATCGCCACTTGACTCACTACATGATTGAGGTGGTTCTGAATTCATGCAGTTTAAATGAAACACTTTCCAAAGATGATTATCAGAACCAGGAAGAAAGTCCTAGTGTGAGCTACTTCATGAAAAAAATGTGGACTGAACATTAAAAGTGTGACATGCCTTTTTATGTGACAGCATGTTCTCCCTCTTAACTATTGGCTTATCTGTCTATACACAAAAAACCTGTGTAAGAGTGGATACTCCTGTGAGGAAGAATGAACTAGAAGTATGAGATTCTTTAAAGGAATCCAGGATCTGATTTTAAATTACTGAAGATAACATCAACTCTTCATAAATTTTGTTCTTTTGTCAGATCTTCTCTCTGGGTTAAAGCCCTCTGTAGAATTACTATTGCTTGCTCATTGTGTTACAGTAACATCATTGCATCTTTTTGAAAGAGTAGTTTTAAGGGCTAGGGTTTACTGAACTGGAGTCAAGTCTTTCTAATGTAACTAGAAGAATCTGACTGATGGGGGTAACTTGTTTTGTCTTCTTCCCTGCCTCCTCAGAATGACTGCCTTTTGCGTTATGAAACTTCTATGTCAAGCAACCAGAAACGAGCATAGATATGCAAAAAGATTCTGTGGTACTCTTCTGACACAAACACAACAGAAGAGAGTCTTCTCTCCAATCTGGATGCTGGTGTCTGACCCTACAAAACTAGTGGTGTTTGGACTTACACAACCATTTTGTACAGCTGAAAAATCTCCCCAGGAACCGAAAAGAAAAACAGCATTTGGAAGCGTTGGGCGAAGAATTCCCTATCGGATACTGCATGTCATCAACCAGGATGGAGAGAGCTTAGGAAATATGCACCGAGCAGAGGCACTCAAACTTATGGATCAACATGACCTGAAACTAGTTCTCCTTCGTGAGAATGTAGAACCTCCTGTATATAGACTAATGACTGGGCAGCAGATTCATGAAGAACAGATGAAACGTGCACAGAAGAAAAAATCCAGTGCAAAACCAGGTATGTACATTATCAACACTGCAGTGCTGACAAATGTTGCATTAGAATTGGTTTCAGCAGATGAAATCCTCTTACTTGCATTTGTATAAATCCAAAGCAATGTCACTGCAGTCCACACTATTAAGCATTTGCAGTGGTGAAGATAACATTTTGGCTTAGACTAGTTTTCCATAGAGAAGCCTTCTGTTGCCTTCTCAGGATTTACTATTTTGGCACCTTCTGGCTTTAAAAAAAAAATAAATTCTGTTTAAGTGACTAGAACTGGACTCTGGTTCCATGAGCCTCACTGAAGTCCTGTTCCTTTGAGGCATAAAATGACAGGCAGTTTTTACAAACTGAGCACCAGATACACCTATGTAATTACAAAGTTTTGTCACCAGTAGTCACAAAACATTCTTTCCCT